CCTCTTCCCCTTCTGGTACCCCTATATTCGGATGTTGGAATGTTTAAAGATGTCCTGAAGGTTCCTAAGCCTCTCCTCCTTTTTTTGAATTTTTGTTTCTTCATTCTTTTCTGTTTGGTCTTTCTTTTCCTCCTTCTGGTCCACTCCTTTGATTTGAGTCCCAGTTTCCTTTCCATTAGTGTTGGTTTCCTGTGCATTTCCATTCATTTCAATTAGTTTAGCCTTCATATGTTCCTCTAATTTGCGACTAAAATCAACCAGTTCTGTGAGCATCCTGATCACCAGTGTTTTGAATTGTGCATCTGAAAGTTTGGCTATTTCTTCTCTTCATCACTTAGATTTATGGGCTCTGGGGCTCTGAGTTGTTCTTGAGCCATGTTTTGATCTGTTCGTGTCTGTTACATATAAGGAGCGGAGCCTTAGGTGTTCACGGGGGGGGGGGCACCCAGTTCGCTGGTTTGTGACAGCGTATGTGGGGGCGGGGTCAGAGAGGGACAATGGCAGTTCTCTCTGCCACTTCCTGCCACTGGGGCCTGCGAGGTCCGTCTCACTGCTCGCTCCTTAGCTGGTTTATCTGTGTGCGAATGTGTGACCATGGTCAGCCCTCAGTGGGTCCGCCCACTACTCCATGCCTGGGATCCACCTGCAGCTGCTGGCACACCTGGGTCACACACCGGGTTGGTCTGGTGGATCTTTCCTGCCCGACCCCGCTCTGCTGCTGGCTCTGCCCCCTTACCAGTTTGACTAAAGGGTTGGTTGTTGTCAGACTTCCATATAGTTCAATTTTCTGTGGTTTGGCAGCATTTTTGTTGCTAAAACTTTGTTGTTTTTAAACTTGGTAGTGCAAGAAGGGGCAGTGCTTCCACCTATGCCTCCATCTTGGCAGAAGTCAGAAATTCAACTTTCTCTTTAAATAGTAAATTATTTTTTCTAAACTCAAGCTATTAATCCATCCGTTTCCCACTGGTTTATAACACCATTTCTGTTAAATATAGGGTCTCCATATATATGCGGTTATATTTAGTTTCTTTAGTTCTGTTGGGTTTTTTTCTTGTATCTGTACAGGGCCGCACCATTTTCATTTCTGTTGTTTTCTTAGTGTGTAATCAATCCTCCAATTTGAATTTTCTTTTTAAAAATTGACTTAAATAAAAATAGAACTTAAATCTTCCATATAAGTATAGAAAAATGTGTTGTCTTTCTTTAGAAATCCTGTGGTGGTTTTAATTGGAATTATACTGAATTTATTGATTTGGGGAGAACTGAATTTCCTATATTAAATCATCCCATCTGAAATGTATCACTCTGTTTTATACAAATTTCCCTTTCTGATCCTTAATGAATCCTTGAATTTTTCTCCATGAAAGTCTGTATTTTGTGAGTGGATTTCCAAACGTTTTTTGGGTTGTTTTCTATTGTGAATTGTATACCTTTTAAAAAACCTTATATTTGCTAGTTGGTAATTGCTGGTTTTGAGACATACTATTAAGCACATTAATAAAACAAATACCTGTGGATCCACAAGCCCACATAAGTAACTGAACATACCAATTACATTGACGCTTCCTATGTGTCCCTCCCTGACACATTCCTATTTTTCCTCTCCAGTGGTAATTGCTATCCTAAATTTTGCTTTCATCGTAGTTTTATCATACATATGTATTCTTAAATGATATGCTGTTTAATTTAGTTTTGCTCATTTTTAACTACATTAAAAATGCCATCATACTGTAGATAGTCTTTAAAAGGCAACTTTTTTCACTCCACAGTATGTTTTTAAGATTGATCTGTCTTGAAACATGTAATTCTTACTAGGTTATTTTATTTTCTTTAGGGTTCTTCTGTTGTTTTTCTTTCTCTTAATTTGTGCTTACATAACTGATTTTCTGCCTTTCTTCTTTTCTAAAATAAACTTTTAGGGCTATATTTTTTTCCTCCAACTACTGTCCTCATTATAATATTTATTTTCAACGTGCACAATTTTAAAGCATTTGGTTCACAGTATTTTCACATTTTTATTTTTATTTTGAATTGATTCATGAGTTATTTTTGAAATATATATTTAAATTTCCAAAATATACTTTTACATATTAACTTTTAACTAAAGTATTCTGTGGTCATAGAACAGGTCAGTATGAATTCAGTCCTTTGAAATTTGTGGAAACACGCTCTGTGGCATTGTATGTGGTAAATTCTTACAAATGTACCCTGTATGCTTAAGAACAATGTTTATTCCCTGTGTTGGGTATAGTATTTCATACATGTCCAATAAGGCAAGTTTATTAACCCTGCGTTTCATCTTTCTCTTGACCAATTTTCTATTTGTTTGACTAATCAATAGTTAGGAAAGCTGTATTTGAATGAATTTACCCATTTCCTCTTACGATTCTACCAATTTTTACTTTATATGTTTTGAGACTATTTGACATACATATTTAGAATTCTTACATTGCCCTGGTGAAGTGAACTTTTTGTTATTATCAACTTCTTTATTCTAAATAATTCTTATTTACTTGAGGTCTCACATCAACATAGCTACCTAAGTTTTTTTTTACATAGTATGTGCTTAGTATATCTTAGTCTTATGTTTTAGTATGTTTCTTATAAATAACATATAGATGATTAGTTTGATTTTTATAGAAACTAATAATCTCTTTTTAAAAAATATTTTATTTATTTACTTTAGAGGGGGAAGGAGGGAGGAAGAGGGAGAGAAACATCAGTGTGTGGTTGCCTCTCACACACCCCTTACTGGGGACCTAACCCGGCCTGCAACCCAGGCATGTGAACTTACTGGGACTCAAACCAGTGACTCTTTGGTTCATAGGCCTCTCAATCCACTGAGCTACACCAGCCAGGGCAGAAACTAGTAATCTCTTTTACCTGGTGTTTAAATCTATATTTATCGAAATCATGAATACATTTGGACTTTACCATCTGGCTTTGTGGTTTCCTTGTGTCCCTCTTTTACCTTGCTTCTCTTTTTTTCTAGTCCTTTTTAGAGTGGCTGCAATATTTGCTTGCTGTATTTGTTTTTGCTCATGCCATTTCCATTTCCATCCTCTATGGCCCAGGATGTACTATATTCTAGTTCTATTATTCTTGTGGTAATTCTTGAAATTTTAGCAATCATATAGTATAATTTTTTAAAACTCCTAACTGATATGAGGAACAAAACTTACATTCTATTTTGTCCAGTATTTTGGTTCTGTCTTTTTTTAACTACCATAAATTAGAACTTATATATATGCTTGTTTACATTTGCTTATGTATTTACCAACTTGTTTACTCTCAATTCATTCTTGTATTATTAAGAAACACCCTTTTATCTCTAGTAATGCTTTTTTCTTAAAGTTTATTTCATTTGATATTAATGTGGCTACATTAGCTTTCTTTTGTTTGGTGTTTACAGGATAATACTCATCTACTCATTGGCCTCTACCTTCCCTCTGATCACAGTTTTTTACTATTGTTAATACTCCTTCATTCAAATAAATTTTTGATTTTCTGTTGAGTTTTTTTTATTGTTGTGAGGAAGAAGGTAAATACAAATTATCAAATTTTCTATTACTGGAAGCATAAAACATTCATCCCTTATTTCTGAAGAATATTTAATATGCTCCTTTGGTAGTCTGTCTCCAATAAGGCTCCCAAGATCCCTAACTCCTGGTATTCCCACCTCTGTTTGATCTCCTCCCATGTTTTTCCAGGGGTAGTCTGTATGACCAATAGAATTTGAAAGAACCAATAATGTCTTCACTTCCAATATTAGAATATAAATGTAGCTGCTTCTCTCTTGGCTGCTCTCCGGCAGTAGAATCATTTACTCTGAAGGATGCCTGTAGTGAGCAGCCCCTACAGAAAGGTCCATGTGGGGAGAAATTGAAGTCTCCTGCCAACAGCCAGAGTGGCTTTTGGAGCTTAGAACTGGACTGTCCAGTCAAGTCTTCAGAAAAATGTCCTCTGACCAACAGTTTGAGCAAGACCTCTTGAGAGACCCTGAGCCAAAATCACCCAGTGTAAACCACTCCAGTTAGATTCCTAACCTCAAAAACTGTGTGAGATAATAAATATTTATGATTTTAGGGTGATTTATGTATCAACAGATAATCAATATAACTCATTTAAAATTATTTGCCATCTGAGCCATTAATTGTAGACCTTTGTTAGTTGTTAAGTTTCGAATTGTGTGCTCTCATTCCTCGCAAGGCATTATCCATTTTGACTGGCGACATGTATCTGAAGGGAGAGGCTAAATTCTAAGGCTTAGTGTGAGCCCCCTCTGATAAGCCCAGGCTGAAGCAATCCTGCTTCAAGTACACAGTCTTTGGTGATTAAATCTCTTCCTCCTCCAGGTTACTGTTTTTAAGGGCTATTTGACTTAGATATAATGTCTTGGTTCTTGGTATATAATTATAGGGGCAGGGGGCCAGAGTATCTGGTTATACAACCCAATCCAAGTACAGATATTGCCCTGATATTATCCTGCTGTTCCCAGCAGAGGCTGAGCTGTTTGTTTGTCTTCTATGACTCAGTGTAAGAGAGAGGTAATGGTTCCCACAGGTCAACATGTAAGAAAGAGAACTCTGAAAACTGTTTCTGATGCTCAGCCAGCTTTTGCTGTGGCTTGCAACCACCTTCTATGATGCCAGGAGTATTACTTACTTGTTTTTAGGATTTGTTTGATGAACTTAATTTGTGTGTGTGTGACATTGCTAGAGTTGGGTTTAGGGGATAAAAGCTGATATTCTTGCAGGGACCAAAATATCTAGTTCGTTCTTTTATTTTCCCTTTCTTTAAAAAAATACAATTTGGTAAATTTTTATTTCCCTATTTCTATCTTCTCCAATCATCAAACAGCATTAAAGGGGTATTCAAACAAGCTTCTCCAATGAAATTTTACAAAAGAAAGGAGAAGACCATCTGAATTCATTAAAATACTTCCTTATGACCTTCCAGAAAATGTTAAAAGAATTTACCGTCATTTAACCTCGACTCACCTGAAATGGCTTCAGGAATGTTTCCTCCATGGCCAGTCTGCCATACTCAGTGAAAAGCTGGAAGGAGAATCATACACACAAACACATGCACAAAGAAAACTTCAGTATCTGCAAAGTTTAGCTTCTTGGCTTTCTTCCATTTATATTTTTTCCCAAAGCTGTAAGATAATACTATATTATTAAGATTATACTAATCATTTTAAGGAACTAAGTAGATAAAAATAGTACAGTAATTAGGTATTTTAAAGTTAAGGATATATAAAGTACATTTAAGAATAAAGTTTGCACTTTAAAGCTAACACCTTTTATATTTAGAGTATAGAACAGTTTTGGGTGTTTTTGTTTTTGTTTTTTTGGTAGGGAAGATGAGAAGGGAAAACAAAAGTTAAATGACCTTTCAAAGCAAAACTTGCATAATCAGACCAGAGAGCAATATACCATGTAGGATATATTTATAAAGGCTGTTGCCTGAGGACACTTAATGGCACAATGGCCTGGAATATTACAAAAGGATGTAGGCATTTGGCTTAAAAAGTGAACAGTCAAATGCACTGCTGTCTCATATTTTCTTATTGCTCCCAATGAGAGGCATCATGGTAGTTTTTGTGTTGCCAGAAGTGGAAGGTTTTAGAGAACACAGACCTGACAGGGTGACTGAGATTAGGCCCCTGCTGAGAGTTTCGTCCAGAGAGGCAGAGTGGGTTTCCCCATGTGTGCACAGGAAATGCCACCGCAGACACACGAGAAACAAGCCACAATGGCCTCTCAGAGCTGGGGGAGAACGCTGACACCAAGGATGCCCATCCCTTGCCCCTTTAGAATGACTTCCATGGTACCACATTGTCTCTCCTGTAGGGCTATGGGAATCTAGAGAATCAGGGGTAATTACCAGGTATCTGATTAGAATTATTAAATGAAAGCCTGGATTATCATATCTAAAGGGCAGCTGGTCCAGAGATTAAACACCCTCATTAGAGTTATCTGTTAACATAAATTGAAGTCAGTCTTTTTTGAGGAAGACTGAGATGTTGTCATTTACAGGAAAATTTTTAAATGATCTCAGACAAGATAATTTACTTAATATAAAAGTCCCAAACCATTCCTTTTCTAGAAATCCCTAAAACTAGTATTGAACAGTACATGCCTGAAGAAATAATTGAACTTATTATAAGAAACATCTAACAATTATTTGGTATATTGTCTAGTTGTCAAAAAATGGTCAGTGGGATGTATAAGAAATATATTTGGTAGGAGCAATGCTGGTTGTGAACTCATATTTCTAATGTTACAAATTACCCTGCTTTAGCCCTGGCTGGCATAGCTCAGTGGATTGAGCGTGGGCCTGCGAACCAGAGTATCACGGTTCGATTCCCAGTCAGGGCACATGCCTGGGTTGCAGGCCAGTTCCCGGCAGGGGACGCATGAGAGGCAACCACACATTGATGTTTCTCTCCCACTCTTTCTCCTTCCCTTCCCCTCTCTCGAAAAATAAATAAAGAAAATATTTTTTAAAAAAATTACCCTGCTTTATCATCCTTTGTTTTCTATTAAATTCGTACATGACTCTTATTGCCAAGATAAAATAATATATCAAAAACAAATTTCCCATAAAATATGCAGAGGGTAACTATCAGAGAAATAGGCTTTGCTATGTAACCAATATAACATGAATTGAAATAGCAGAGTGTTACAGAGATGTGAAGTATCTTTAGGAAATACTAATCTTTTACTTGAGATTTAAATGCTGCTTGGAGAGTAGGAGGAGCATTGAGCCCTGTCAGATGACCACATTTTTATTTCCACTCTACCACTAACTAGCCACAAGAATTTAGGCAAGTCTTACTTCTTTCAGACAAATTTTCCTCATGTATAAAACATGAAGTATAAGGTGTCATCGAAGCCACTTTCAGATCTAAAACAGAATTTGATGAGTTATCATCAAGTAGCTCCTCCATAGCTTTTAGGTAGAAAGTAGTCCACAGGGGGGAAAAAACTGGCATATAACTCATATCATACTAGCAATTATTAAATCCCTGACCCTAAGACTTCCAACTTCACATTTTGGATCATTTTTTAAACCAAAGACTATTTTTCCACTCTAATATGCCACATATTTTCATATATACAGGGCCAACAGCAAGATGATTTACAGAAACAAAGGAATTTCAAAATTAATTTAGAAAGAACATAAAAATACAAGGTTGGGAAAAATACCCTGAAAATAGGACAACCTCCTTTTGGTTACATTTCTAAAGCTTTCTGAATTGTTAAGTTTTCCAAGTAGAAGACCCAACCAAATCCTGAAATTCTGCTATACATGCTTAATATATTACCGGATATTTAAAGAAGAATATAAATGTTGTTACCTGGAGGTGCTGAAGATCATCCTCCTGGACATTTTGGGATAAGTTATATACCTCGATTAAGAAATAAAATGGGAAAATCATTAGCATCATCCTCAGCACTCACTTTGTCATTCTTTATTTTTCTAAATATCTGTTATCACCAACTTGAACACTCTTACATACATTCTTTTTTCACATTTTTTCTTGTCAAGTGTATTCTTGTATAATGATATTTGTAAGACCTTAATCAAGGAGTAAAAGAAACTTAAGAAACAATGAACAATGTACAATTATCATAAAATTGTTCCAGAAATGCAACAGCTACCTGTTCTGGAGGAAGAATATAAAAATTACTTTATGAACCCAATTTAACAATAGTCAATAAAACACTCCTACTTATAAATAATGGCAATCTAAATCTGAATAACCCAAATATATACCTGTCTTGAAAATTACTGTTGACTTGTTCACAGCTGATTATCTATCTTAGTTATATCTATAGAGTGTTTCATCACATGAAAGGTTTTTAAGTTAAATATATTTTATTGATTATGCTATTAGAGTTGTCCCATTTTTTTTCTCCCATTTATCCCCCTCTGCCCTGCACCTCCCCTCCCACCAGCATTCCCCAACCTTAATTCATGTCCATGGGTCATACATAAAAATTCCTTGGTTTCTCCATTTCCCATACTATTTTTAACCTTCCCTTGTCTATTTTGTACCTACCATTCATGCTTCTTATTCCCTATACCTTTTCCCCCATTCCCTCTCCCCCCTCCCTGCTATTAACCTTCCATGTGATCTCCATTTCTGTGATTCTGTTCCTGTTCTAGTTGCTTGCTTTGTTTTTGTTTTTGTTTTATTTTAGGTTCAATTGTTGATAGTTGTGAATTTATTTCCACTTTACTATTTGTATTTGATCATCTTCTTTTTCTTAGATAAGTCCCTTGAACTTCATGAGGCTTGGTGATGATGAACTCCTTTAACTTGACCTTATCTGGGAAACAGTTCATCTGCCCTTCCATTCTAAATGATAGCTTTGCTGGATAGAGCAATCTTGGATACAGGTCTTTCCTTGCCTTTCAAGACTTTGAATACTTCTTTCCAGCCCCTTCTTGCCTGTAAGTTCTCTTTTGAGAAATCAGCTGACAGTCTGATGGGAACTCCTTTGTAGGTGACTGTCCCCTTATCTCTTGTTGCTTCTAGAATTCTCTCCTTCATTTTAATCTTGGCTAATGTAATGATGATGTGCCTTGGGGTGTTCCTCCTTGGGTCCACTTTCTTTGGGACTCTCTGAGCTTCCTGGACTTCCTGGAAGTCTATTTCCTTTGCCAGATTGGGGAAGTTCTCCTTTATTATTTATTCAAATAAGTTTTCCACTTGTTGCTGTTCCTCCTCCCCTTCTGGTACCTGTGTAATTTGGACGTTGGAAAGTTTAAAGATGTCCTGGAGGTTCCTAAGCCTCTCCTCATTTTTTTTTTTTGAGTTCTTGTTTCTTCATTCTTTTCTGTTTGGTTGTTTTTTTTTTTTTTCTTCCTTCTGGTCCACTCCATTGATTGGAGTCCTGGTATCCTTCCCTTTACTGTTTGAAATTCCCAAAGTGAATTTCCTTTAATTCACTTTGCATAGCCTTCACTGTTTCCTCTATTTTGCTACCATGCTCAACCAATTCTGTGAGCATCCTGATTATCAGTGTTTTGAACTCTACATCTGATAGGTTGGCTATTTCTTCACTGCTTAGTATATTTTCTCTGGAGCTCTGATCTATTCTTTCATTTGGGCCATATTTTTTTGTCTGTGCACACCTGTTATGTAGTAAGCGGTGGAGGTTTAGGTATTCCCCAGGGTGGGGGCAACCTGCTTTACTACACTATGGTATTATGTGTGGAGGAGGGGTCTGAGAGGGAACAATGCCATTTGCTCAGCTCTCTGCTGGCTTTCAGTGACTTCCCCTGCTACCCATAAGCAAATTGGACCCTTCTGGTGCTGATTCCCAGGTGGGTGGGTTTGTGTACCTTCTAGGATCCTGTGGATCTCTCCAACAATCTCTCCCGTGAGATTGGGAGTTTCTCCTGCAGCCGCAATCCTCACAGGATTTTCAGTGAGACGTTTTGAGGCTTTATTTCCCCACACTGGAACCCTGGGTTGCGTGTTCTGTCTTGATCTCCAGTTGTTCCTCCCAGTTTATCCCTATACAAATGTGGGACCACCTGGCCCGACAGCTGCCACCTTGCTGCAAGTCCTCTCTGCCCTGGCTGTCAGTCTCCACCCCTCCTACCAGTCTGGATGAATGTTTCTTCTTTAACTCCTTAGTTGTCAGACTTCCATACAGTTTGGCTTTTCTGGCAGTTCTGGTTATTTTTTGTTTTTAAATTTGTTGTTGTCCTTCTTTTGGTTGTGTGAGGAGGCACAGTATCTCTACCTATGCCTCTATCTTGGCCGGAAGTCAAAAGTTAGGTTCTGAATATCATTCCCCTACCTGTAAACATATGCATTATTGCTTCATGAACAGATTACTGCATCAAGATGACATTATTTTGAGAAGAATAAATATCACTAACTCCAAAGAAAAGTTAAGGATATAATTTTTTGTGGACTATTACAAACAGTATACTTTTAAATAGGTCATTTCTCAGATAATACCAAATAGTCATTACTTAAAGAACTTAGATTTTCCAGTGAAAATATTCAATGTCTTAAGGTAAAATATAAACAGTAAATCATAAATATTAAAGTCAAAATCAATATGGTTTTAATAGGTTTGTGTAAGTGACTTTATACTGTTGATTATGAAGAAATTAGATGTCAGTATTTTAGAGGGTCATAAATTTAAGAAATATATTTTTAAATGCTAATCAATCATACATTATAATTATGGCTTTTTATCTTAAAGTCCTTTATTTAAAAAATTCAATTTTCCTTCTATCCATCCTCTTGTTGTTGTCCTACCCACACAAGATGCCTTTATTGCAAGATTACTAGCTCCATCTTCCCTCCTTATAACTTCAGGTGTGACTTACTCATCCTAAGCACTTTGTCATTCCTACCTTTTCAAACTATCTTATCTTGCTTTTAATAGTCTGTTTCTTGTGCACTATCTCTTCTTGCTCTTTCCAATAAATAGAAAATATTTTAAATAGTCTTTAAATCTTTTATGCTGTGGGTTCTATGGTTACAGTAAAATTCTCAAATGACTTTTAGGACAACTTATAAAGCCTACAATAACGTCAAAGACACTACTTAATAAAAGACAGGGAAAGAAGAATGGAAAGGGAGATAAACATTTTTATAAAAAGACATTTTCCTAAATATATATTAAAATATTTCAAAAATTTGTAGATTTTTAATATTTATAACACATGTAGATTTTTAAATATTTATAAATGTTTCTGCTATGTAAAATAAAATTTTTATTTATAAATCTTGTTTCATAAAATATAACTTATAATAGTTTATCCCAATGTATCTGCATACATTATAAATTTAATGTTATTAAGTTTATTACATGCTTTAAACAGAAAAAATATCAGTAAGATAATATAACCTTTTCTGACTGAAATAGGCAATTTTAAAACTTACCAGAAATTAGATGACAATAGCAAATACAATTATATCTTATAGAGTACAGTTATAAGAACTAGTATGCTAGTTGAGCCAAATAATGTACATGATTTACCATTTCTGTTGTTTGTCTCCCTAGCACACACATGTAGAGATACATAGACTCATAATTTTTAGTGACAGAAGCTTTCATAAAAATGGATTTATTGTATTCCATACCTGTATTGAACTGATCATTGTGCTAAGGGCAAACACTGTGGCAGAATCTCTCAAAGTTGACTGGCTATCAAAGGTACCCTGTGTATCCATCAATAGCACTGCAACCTATAGGCAAGTAGAGTATGTTACTGATATTTTAGACAACATGTAGAGTGTTAGGTTACCACAACGTTAACACTATAAGAACTAAAGTAAACCTTTAATAATGAATACTGTATTTTTTACATGTGTCATGAATGCCACGGAAAATAAAAATATTAATTAGCTGCTGAGTACTATAATGATTAATTTTTACAGGTAATCCAACGTAACAGAAACAACATTGAAACAAAGTTTAGATGTTAGCTGATCTGCTGTTCCACTGTCTCTACAATTTTCCCTGCCCTGATAGCTGGAAAGGGCAACAGGAAACATGTAATAGGATACTACCCACTTCCCTTTTAAACATTGTGTCAAATGGCCAAAAATTAGTTTCCATGAGAGCTTTTGAGGATCCTAAAAAGTAGTAACTGTTGCACGTGAAAAATCTATTTCCTTTAAGAAGTTCACATCATACCTTTTTGCCATCAGGTTTATTGACAAGGAAGACTTCACTCCATATCTGGATCCCTGTAGTCTCTCGTTCAGACCCACCTCTCCATGAAAAACCAGTCAGTGGTTCATTGTAATCTCCAACCCAATCCACTGATTCCTATAAATTAAGAAAGTCTATGATACAGAACTAAGTATGTAGTATAGTATTTTCCATTCATCCATTCAGGTTTGTATCTCTCTCCAACTCTAGTTGAAAGGAAACAGCATATTCACACGTATTGTATTGATACAATTACTTTATTCATTCAAAAAGTAATTGCAGAGGAGCAATTGCCTGCCACATTTTATACTGGGTTCTGGGGATACAAAGATATCCAGACCAGAGGAAGTTCCTAGCCTAACAGGGAGACAGACATGCCAGCAAACCATTATAATGCAATATATGCATGCCAAAATGGGAGTGTATGGAAAGATGGGAGCATAAGGGAGAAAAATGGAAGGAGGGAATAATGGAAGCGTGAGAAAAGAAAACAACTACTAACTCTTGGTCAGGTAAGACTTAAAGGAGAGATGATGTTTGAACTAAGACTTGAAGGATGTTTAGGAATTTTCCAGATGAGCAAACTTAGGGAGGGCATTCCAGAAACAGGAATAAAGATATGAGAGAACATATTATATCAGGATATAAACAACAATATACTACTGTGGTATTGGGGAGGAAGGGAATGAATAGCAGGAGGAGGGGCACCTAGTAGTAGGTACAGAAAAACAAAAGCAAAATAAATCTGTTCCACTTTACTTTGAGTAAATGCTATTTAACACTAGCAGCATGATAAGTGATATTGAGTATTTTACTCAAATGTGTAACAGTTAAAACTATGAATACATCTAAAACAGTATATTCCCAAAGAATGTAAAGTATATGAATTTTGTTCATTCAATTTTCTCATCTTTGTTAAGTAGCACACTAATGTTTGTATAGAGAATGGTAAGAGTTTTGCTTGCTTTCAAAGCCTGAGTATTTTAGCAGTTCTGTTCTTGATTTGTTTGAACTGACATTAAAGATACAAGATGTTGCCCTGGCTGGTTTGGCTCAGTGGATTGACCACTGGCTTGCAAGCCAAAGTGTCACTGGTTTGATGCCCAGTTACGGTACATAACTGGATTGCAAGCCAGGTCCCTAGTAGGGAGCGTGTGAGAGGCAACCACACATTGATGTTTCTCTTCCTCTCTTTCTCCCTCCCTGCCTCTCTCTAAAAATAAATTAAAATCTTTGTAAAAAAGATAAAAAAAAGATGTAAGATATTAAAGTTAACATTACCAAATTGTTCAAAAATTACTCAACTATAGAAGATCAATTCAAAATGAGTATTTATGGTATAAATACATAATGCAAAGTTTCTTTAGGTAGTGTCTATTCTGCCTCAAAGTTCATATTTGCACCAGAATTGCTATGAATAAAAGTGTAGGAAAAAATACTGATATACTCTCTATTCCCAACCCTTTCTTCCCCAGCTTTAATCTTCTATTTATCCCTCAGCTTTTGGTTTATTCTGTGACTCTTAAAGTCTCATTTCTGCACTGTACTCTTGTCTCAAATTTTGTGACACTGTTGGTTGCTTCTGGGGTAGGGGTGTGAAATGAGTGTGAAAAGATAAGGTAGAACTTGCTGGGGTAAAGGCAAGATACACGATAAAATTTGGGGCTATAGAGGTATGTGCATTTTTAAAAATATGCAAATATACTCTTGAGATTTGTGTATGTAATTACATGTAAATTTTACAATGAAAAAAACTAAATAACTACTAAAATCTATCATAATTGAAATATTGATGGAAAGTATACTGATATCAGCAATTTACTTTTTTTTTCTCTGAAATGATGCAGAAATATATGATGAAGAGATGGATGGAAATAATAGTTGGAGACACATGTGATGAAACAAGAATGTTAATGTCAATGATACAATCTAGGCAGTAGATAGTCAGGTATTTAGTGTAAAATTCTTTGAACTTTGCTGAATGCTTGAGAAATGGCATTGTAAATGTTGGGGGGGAAATGATTACAATAAAAAAGTTATGACAATAGTTATTTGACATTTTAAACCCTACAGCATGTAAAATTTATAATTTTATACTATGCAGTATCTATTTTTAAAAGAGTAAAAAATAAGTTACATTCTATGTGAAATGTGGCCAAGTGGTTTCAGACAAAAGTGGCCTACGTAGTTTGGTACCCAAAGCACCAAAGTTGAAATGATTACACCATAGCATTTTAAAACTGGTTCATATTTAGGATACATAATAACAGAGGTGGAAATAATGGACACTACTAAATAAAAACACAAAGTGACAGAAGCACAGAAACAGAAAACTTTTAAAACACCTCTACATACCTGGTTGTACATATATCTCAACATGAAGTCCATTAGGAATGATTTTCCTTTTCTAAAGGCTCCAGCAACAGACACAGCAACGACCTCCTTGTCTCTGACAGCCTCTGAGAGGAGGATTCGGTTTAGCGCGGTTTCATCTAACTCGAAGGAATGGTCATCTTTGACAATGAGGACTTGGACCGGTCCTGCCTTTTTCACTGGCTCCTCTTCTTCTGAGCTCCATTCATATGCCTTTTCTGAAAACCCACCTGTTGAATAAAACAGTATTTTATTCAGGTAATCATCACAAAATACCAAGAAATATGTATGTACCTCTTAACTCTCAAACATCTGAAACAGGAAAACAGTAGAATTAAAAGTGCTCCTTTTAAATGACATATATTAATGTCATTCACACCCTATCTCAGAAAGATTTATATCTGGTCTTTCTGATCATCTCACCAAATCAAACCATTTTGTTTTTAAAATAGCTATACATCACTGCAGAAATCTGTTTGCAGGGTGGGAAAGAAAATAAAAATAAAGGAATCTACTTTTAGAAAAGAGGAATAAAGTGATTTTAGTGGACACTTTCCTCATCCTCTAGAAGTAAGCTTATTCGTATTAAAGAGACTTGAGAAAATTTTTTAAACTGAATATACATAGGGGGAAATACATGTAAGGACTCAGAATCATACATTCTTGAAACTGGAATAAATCTCTAAAGCATCTAGTTCAGCTCCCTCCAAGGCATGCATTCCATCTACGGAATCCTACACTCCTAATTGTCTAAATTATACCTCATAGCAATGGAAGTTAATGAGAATTAAATTGGGTAGGACCATATTACAGGTCTTCAAACCATAGCAGAAAGGTCTGGAAATAAGTCAATAAAAAAGGAATCTTTGGAAAGTTGCTTTATATGTATGGCTATACCACCCTGAATGCGTCAGATCTTGTCTGAAAGTTACTTTTTGTGGAGACCTTACAGAAAAGTAGTATGAACATAGGACATTACTAAACCTCTCCGTTTCTTCATCTGTAAAATGGAAACTACTAATAGTACCTATTTAAGAGGGTTGTGGTAAAGGTTAAGGGAGTCACTACATGAAAAGTGCTGAGAACAGTGCTTGTCAGGAGTAAACTCATAAAGGTGAGCTGTCATCATCACCACCACCACCACCTTGGAACTGCTGACTGGATTAAGTATTCTTGAAAGAAGTTCTGCATACTTTCTATTAATTTATGTGTATGTGTGTGTGCATATTTGTGTGTTTTCTGAGTTTTCTATTGTCAGAAATGCGATTTTTTGACAAAGGTCAACTTTTAGAATTCATTCTTAATATACATGAATTTTGGAACCCTAGACCGTGGCAGTTGTGGTATATTACAAAACAACCTCAATGTGTCAAGTAACGCATTCTTGCATCCACTGCCTTAACTTTGTAATGTCCTCCTGCTTTGACTCTGCCAGCATCCACATGGTTTCCTGTAGCAGACATGCCACTCTCACCATGAGAGTGTTTCTAGACTATTTGCTTGCTGCAGGATGAGAGACACTTGGAACAAGCTCAGCAAGCTGACCCCCAGCCAAGCCAAGATCAACAGAGTTGCCCAACACCTTCTTTAACATGTAATCAGTAAATACTTATTATTCTATGCCCCTGAGATTTTGTGACTGTTTATCATGTAGTTTAACAGACAATGAACAACTGATACAGCCCACAACTCCTTCCTTTAGAAAGGCAGTACAGTGTAGTGGCTAAAAACACAGGCTCTGGTAAAAAAACAAAAACAAAAAACTCTGGTTAAAGACCAAACTGCTGTGATTCAAATCAAGGCTTCCCCATTTCTTAGCTGAGTAACTGTAGGCATGTTGTTTAACCTCTGTCTACCTTGTAAGGTTGTTGTAAATTAATATATGCATGTAACACATTGAAAATAGTGGCTGGTACTTAGTAAATGCTATTAGTATTATTGTAGTTTTAAGAAACTAAAAGCAAAGATGTAACTGATGTTGTACAAGAAAAGGAAATAGAATTTCTGTATCAGGCAGTCTACTATGGATGCCTTCTTGTGGTATTTATTACTTTAAATAGCCTAGCAAGGTATTTATTATCTGTATTTTTGACAGCTGAAAACATGAGAAATTGGATTAACTTTCCCAAGATCACACCCACTAGCAAGTGATATATAGAAGTTCACACAGTTAATAACTGTCAGTTTGGGATTAGATCCAAGGTAGCTATCTAACTTCTATCTCAGCCCTTTTTACTATCATATTCTGCCTCTTTAGTGGAAATCAAATAACGCTTGGACAACACATAAATGGGCTCATTTGTATTGTATCAAAAGAACAGAAAGTCAAAACGTGCATTGATTCTTCAGATCAGAGACATGGCCTAGCCTTAAATAATATTAACTTCAAATCAAACCTTAATATTATTAATTTTTGAAACAAACTTGGCTTTTAAATAACCTTTCATCTAAATTTATAAATATACATTTCAATAGACATTTTCATTATGTCTATTTGATAAGTCCTATAACAACAACAAAACACGGCAACTGTCCAGGTAGGGCTATGGCCCAGGCTGGCTTTTTTTTCCAAGGAGCCTTTGATGAATTCAATTATCTGGTAAAAATGCAGCTTTTCCCCTGAGAGAGAGTCCAAAATGGTTAAGCTGCTTTCTCAAGAGTGGTACTTGGAGCTCAGGAATGAGAAAGGAGCGCAGTGTTAAGGTCAAAAGGGAGGATGAGAGGGCCAGAATAATTGCCATGTTATCCTTGGAGGGTCCATGTTTTTTTTGTATAAAACGTTTGCCTTAGAAACTTTACATAGAAACCAAGCTTTTGATTGTTTGGCATTTAAAGCACAGTTATTTTCACCTAAGAATGCATTTTGACTTTGCACAAGAAAGCTTTAAATCAGAAAAAAGAAAACAACAAAACAATTGTATCTCTTGGTATAATTTTATCAGATAACATTGATTTTATATATATATATATAAAATCAGATCACACACACATATACATATAATATGTATAACCATATCTCTACATATTGCTGTTCATCTACAAAACAGTTTTATTGAGCCCTGGCCAGTGTGGCTCAGTTGGTTGGAACATTGTCCCAAAAATAAAAAGGCTGCAGGTTCAATTCCCAGCCAGGACACATGTCTGGGTTTCAGGGTTTAGTTGGGGTATAAAGGAGAGGCAACAGTTCAATGTTTTTCTTTCACATTGATGTTTCTCTCCTCCTTCCTCTCCCTGCCTTCTTCTCTCTATAAAATCTCTCTAAAAAAACATGTCCTTCGGTGAGGATTAAAAAATTTAAAAAATAGTGCTATCGAAATACTGCACATCTAACATGAAATTTAGTTTTTCATTAATGAAGAGAGACACACAGCAATGCTTTCTGAACAATAGTACAAAGCATCTGGAGACAACAGAACCATTGCCTATAGCCATGGATCTCTCTGCAAAGTTAAGAAAGATGGATGTTATGTCCAAAATATAGTGGCTTATATATTGCCATATGATAGATGCTATAGTCAGAGTCTTTATTTAAATCCCAGCTTCACAATTTACATATATGAAGTTGGGGAAATTATTTAACCTCATAATGGCTTACTATCCTATATCTGAAAAATGAGATTAAGAGTGGTGCCTGCAGCCCTGACCAGTGTATCTCACTTGGTTGGAGAATTGTTCCACAGGCCAAAAGGTCACCAGTTCAGTTCCCAGTCAGTGTACATGCCTGGGCTGCCTGTTCCGTCCAGTTGGGGCATGTATGACAGGTCTCTGATCAGGGTTCGTATCACAGGCAACCAATCAATGTTTCCATCTTTCTCTCCCTTTCTTCCCCTTTTTCTAAAATCAATGAGCCTGTCCTCAGATGAAGATATAAAAAAAAGTAAGAAAAGGACTTTTGGCCAAAATGGAGGCATAGGTGGAAACACTGTGCCTCCTCTCACAATCAAATGTAAAGACAACAAAGATTTAGAAACAAAAACACAGCCAGAACAGACAGAAAATTGAACTGTATAGAAGTCCAGCAAACCATTCATCTGGACCCGTAAGAGGGGCAGAATTGGCAGCTGGAGGAAAGGGGTTGCAGCAGGAAAAAGAGTTGGCTGGCAGACCTGGGTGCGGGGAGGAAACAAGCAGATCCAACCCAGTGAGGTGTGTGGTTGGCTGACCACAAACACACATTCATGTGTAGATAAACCAGGCAAAAAATGGTCAGTGAGACAGAGCATGCAACCCAAGGCCCCAGCAACAGGAAATAAAGCCTAAAAGCACCCGAATGAAAAATCTTGCAGGGGTTGAGGTACAGGGAGAGGCTCCAGCCTCACAGGAGAGTTCACTGGAGAGACCCACAGGGTCTTAGAACATACACAAGCCCACCCACGTGGGAACCAACACCAGAAGGGCCCAGTTTGCTTGGGGGGAGTGGCAGAGGGGACTGAAATCCAAGAGAGTGGAGCAAGAGCCATTATTCCCTCTCTGACCCTTCCCTCACGTACAGTGTCACAACCCAGCAACTGGGTTGCCCTGCCCTGGTGAACACCTAAGGTTCTGCCTCTCATGTGTAACAAGCACAACCTGACCAAAAAAATTATGGCTCAAATGGAAGAACAAATCAAAGCCCAGAGCCAATAGATAAGAGCCAATATCTCTTTTAAGTGACCAAGAGACAGCTAACCTATCAGATGCACAGTTCAAACACTGGTGATCGGGATGCTCATAGAACTGGTTGATCTTAGTCACACATTAGATGAAAAAGGTTGACCGGGAACTGAAACTGTTTGATTTTCGTTGCAGATTAGATGAAGGCTACACTAAGTGAAATGAAGGAAAATGTACAGGGAACCAACAGTGATGGAAAGAAAACTGAGACTCAAATCAATGGAGTGGACCAGAAGGAAGAAAAAAACAACCAAACAGAAAAGAATGAAGAAACAAGAACTCAAAAAAAAAAAAATGAGGAGAGGCTTAGGAACCTCCCAGACATCTTTAAACATTCCAACATCCAAATTACACAGGTACCAGAAGGGGAAGAGGAACAGCAACAAGTGGAAAACTTATTTGAACAACTAATAAAAGAGAACTTCCCCAATCTGGCAAAGGAAATAGACTTCCAGGAAGTCCAGGAAGCTCAGAGAGTCCCAAAGAAGGTGGACCCAAGGAGGAACACACCAAGGCACATCATAATTACATTAGCCAAGATTAAAATAAAGGAGAGGTATGCCAAGAAATTTGATAA